TTTAAACTTCAGGCAGAAAGCAGCTACTGCTAATAGCACTCAGCAATAATCCATATTAATTTCCCATTGCAGTCGCTTCCCGCGCTACTGAATGTGCCAGAAATTTCTCGATTCCACGGGTAAGAATGAGTTCTGTGAAGAATTGATGGTGTGCATCGTGATTTCTTTCGTATTTCAGTAACATGTTAGTCAAAATGTTAATTAAATGTACAAAGGAAAACTTATCCTTGAATTTAAATAATCAAGCACTGTCATGAAGACATGTGGGTAGTGGAGGTATAGCTCTACCATTCTGGACCTCAGCATTAGATGGAGTTGAGTGGTCAGCTTTACTCCCCGGCCTCTTTACCCCCGAGGGAAAGAGCCCCCGGTACCCGCTGGATAGGTTAGGTGCGCCCCAGAGTCAATCTGGGCTCTGTGGAGAAGAGAAAATCTTGCCCCTACCGTGAGTCGCGTACAAAATGTCAGTTGGAACATAAAAGAAGGGTACACACCACATGAAATACCTAGACAAAGATGGGAGGATAATGTAAAAAGGGATATTTGATGGAACCTCGAGAGCTATGCAGACAGTAGAGTACCTATTGGTAGGACGCCTCTTGCTAGACAGGCGAAATGGGTGCAACATGAAAAGGCCTCCTATGTTACGGATCCTGTGGCTAGGTTTGTAACCTCCCAGCGACTGAACACTCACATCACAGAACTTGGAAACATGGAAAAAGCGTATGAAGTAGGAACAGACTTGACTGACTATACCGTGAAATGGAGAATAGCAAAATGTGTGTACGTTTTAATTGGATTCAGTTATCTCGTGACAGAGTCCAATCACGTTCTTTTGCGAACAATAAGGCAAATGAAGAATGCCGCATTCTGGGATGTGGCGCCGTGTAGATATCGTATAAACCGACGTTTCGAAGGGTATAAGTAATCCGCAAGCGAGGAACCAGCGTTAGCAGGTGGCTGTAGACATGACTCTAGGACTAAACCCGGGGTTCCACGACGAAAAGCCAGTGACTCACTGTCTGAACTATGGCACGGAAATATAGACCAGTACAGGCTTACTCCAGTCGAACACCATTTCTGAATCATCCTGTTCCGGAAGTCCCTAGTCTTTTTATTTACGTGTGCAACATCGTCATGTTCGTTGATTCCCTCGAAACAGGGAGATGGCTTCAACCCACTTTGCTCTCACCCTTTGAAATAGAGCGTTCACATGAAATGCGCTTAGTTTTGCCTTGATATATTGCGGTAGAACTCAATCAAAAGTAATAATTAATTTATCAGTATCTAATGAAGTCTTAATGAAATCTGAAAGAGAGTATCAAGAGGAAAAGAAAGAATAGAGAAAAGGGGTAAATAAAGGAAGAGAAGGAAGGGGCAGTGCCCCAGAAATATCTCTTTATATCTCTGTCTTTCTTCCACAATCCTTTTGTAACTCTGTTTTATATGGGCAATATAATAGGACAAAGAATTAATCAATGCATTTAATTCACCATCTCTCTCCCGGTATACGAGTACAGTTATGTCTGCTATAGGCCTATACTTCTTTGTGTAGCTGGGGGCAGCCAACGCCCCAGAGAAGTTGAGTCCAGTAATTGCTACAATATACAAATAGAGATTGCATAAGAATACAAAAATTTTACTTTGAATCGATTGAAATTATAGAGCAGTGTATAAAGGTCTTTGAAATCCTAATCTAGATACGCTGTAGAAGAACAAGACAACACGCTTTTTATTACAGTCAAAAGTGGACTAGAAGTGTGTAAAGTTATTTGATCAATACTGGAATTGCGTGATATTAGTTCCCTTTTAAAGTTCCTCAGAGCAATGCAACAATTTCTTGCGTGTTATCTGATTCCTTTTATTCGGTGCAAGAACCAAACAGGGGTTACAACAACCTCATTTAAGACGTGACTTAAAACTTCGTTACAAATATGAAGTCCGTTTAATTAGAACAATAACTCGCATTTGAAGTGAAATGGCTCTGATCTTAATTTCCTGTAATCCAAATTACATATCAAGATGATGAGGACTTACTGAATAGTTCTGCGGATAACTGCTGACAGGGGTATCAAAATTCATGTAGACAGATTAAGTTTAAGTTCACAAAGGGAAGGAATAAATAATAGGAGGAAGAAAAAAAATAAGGATTATATTTCTTTTGATTCTTGGTTTATTTAAGAGCTTTTTAATCTGATAAACTTGCATAACGTCGAATGATCGAATGTCGATGATCACAGTGGCCGGCTACGCTCACTCATACACTGGGATCATGGATTCGAATCCCACTCAAGGCTTTGATGTTTCTCCGCTTTTCTTCTGTTTGCGTTTTCCTGTGTGGTTGGTGGGGCTGAGATAGGGCTGATCCCCCGACATAGAGTCATACCGACAATCTACAAGATCCAGAGTTCTAGATTAATTTTGATGGAAACAGACCAGAAGGCGTAACACGAAAGGAAGAAGAAGAAGAATGATGATGGAACAACCGGTGAATCATGAATTGTAAAGAATGTGGAATAAGGAGGCCTTGGCGCAAGTTAAGTTATTTTGCTGGCACT